TAGGCTTTAAAATTATTTAGAAGTCTTCAGAACAGTTTGAGCATCTTCTTGTTACCTTCTATAAATCCTTCCCTCTGTCCAACTCAGAAGAATGATGTTACCTCTGACTTAGAATACTTTTCACAAAATGCTTCTAGAGCTAAAGAGAGATTTTATTTAAACCTGTATTTCAGGGTAAGTGAATTGAAAATAGATTGAAACTCTGAGTTAACATTGTATTGTATTTTTTTAAACAGGTATGTTCATTTTTGTTAAAGCAAAACCCACTTGACCATTTAGATAACACAAATAATAAATTTAGGGCCTCAGTAGTAGTCTAAATCTGAAACAGTACAAAGACCCACAGATAGATGAAGTACATTTTATCTTTCACCTAGGTATCACCTCTCTTGCTTAAAAACTGCTTAAGCAATAACATTTTACATATTTTACTGCAACTTTTCCCAATATTGTTGCTCTGCTAGTTCTTGTATGAAAAAAGAAAGATAACACTCATTATAATTTAGAAATTCATATGAATTGCTGCTTTGACTTATTTTAAAACAAAAATATCACTGTGTTTTACAGGAGGAGAAAAGGAAACACTTATTGGACTCTGTTATGTCCAAGGCAATACATTATTTTCTCTAAACATCCTCCAAGCTAGTTCATATTTATGTCTTAAGGGTGAGAAAGCTGAGTGCTTTCTACTATTCTGAAACCAATATTCTTTATTAATGTTGTTCCAGCAAGAGTGTAAATAAACATAATGCATGAAATAAAAATCTAAAACAAAATTGAATTTGAGTAAAAGACAGGGAAACCAGTTGAAGAAAAGAATTTTTGAAATGCAGTGCATGCAAGGAAGCCTTCAAATAGAACTCATCCTTTACCTGTCCCTAACTGTCATGCTAGAGGGAAAAACCTATAAATGCAGTGAAGGTGGAGAAGCCTTCAGTCAAAGTATGTACCTTGCTAGACCTCACAGGACTCATGCTGGAGATAAACCTCATGAATATAAATGAATGTGGAATATGGCACATCCCTTATTAAATATCAGAGAATTCATCCCACATAGAGACCTTATGGATGTAATGAATTTATTCAACTTCAGAGAATTTGTGGTAGATAAAAAACCCTGTGAATCTGGTAAATGTGGTATCTTGTAACAGGCTTTATTCAATATCTTTGCTCAAAACTAAAGTAAACAACTTCAGGTGGCTTAATGTATTTTGGAAAATATAATAAAAAAAATTTTCATGGACATGTCAAATGTTCCATTTCCTTTAGAGCCTTTTTGCCAATATTTTTAGGGAAAAAATCTGATTAAAATACAAGACTTCTGTGGTCTATGTTCATATTCTTAATGTTTTCATCAACCTGTAATAAGATGTTTTCATTCTGAATTATAATACATATAAAATGAATGCCTTTCTTCTTTTTTCCTGAAAATTTTTTATCATCTCAAAGCAGATGCATAGTAAAACCCAAAAGTTCTCCCATGTTAATCTCATCCCTCACTGTTAAAATGTAGTCATATATTCTGACATACATTCATTCAGAAATTTTCCTATGACTATACACACACACACACACACACACAAACCCACCAGTCACATTTTATATACTATACTACAACTTGGTTTTTTTAAAACTTAACAACATGTTATGACTGTATCTTCTAGTCAGTAAATATAAATCATTATTTCAAAAAGGCAATGTACCAGTTTATCTAATTGAACCCCTGTTGATAGACAAAGAATACTGTAGTAAAAATGTTTGAATACCTGTTAAAATATTTCTGAAATATAAATAAATCCCTAAAAGAAAAAAGGAAAATTATAAAACCAGCCATGTACATATACATATACATATATATACACACCCATACATATGTATAATTTTCATTTTGATAGTTGCTGCCAAATTACCCTTCAAAGAATAATATCCTTCTTTCTCTAAGCTTACAATGGGAGACTTTTTTAAATTTTAGCTTTATTGAGATATTTTTGACATATATAAGTGTAAGTTATTTAAAGTGTAAGTACCTTGTGGTGATAATGATATATGTATACTTTGTGGAAGAGTTGCCCTATCTACAGTATAGCACAGAGAAGACAAATAGTGACTTGTAGCATCTTACCACATTGATGGACAGTGACTGTAATGGGGTATGTGGTGGGGACTTGATAATGGGGGGAATCTAGTAACCACAGTGTTGCTCATGTGACTGTATATTAATGATACCAAAATATAAAAAAAAGAGTTACCCTATCTAGTTGTTTAATACATCCATCACTTCAAATATTTATTGTTTGTTTTTTTTTGGTAAGAACATTTAAGTTCTACTCCTTCATATCATTCTTTCTTTTTTCTTTTTATTAAGGTATCATTGATATACACTCTTATGAAGGTTTCACAAGAAAAACAATGTGGTTATTACATTCACCCTTATTATCGAGTCCCCCCCATACCCCAATGCAGTCACTGTCCATCAGTGTAGTAAGATGCCACAGAGTCACTACTTGTCTTCTCTGAGCTACACTGTCTTCCCCGAGACCCCCCACACACCATTCATACCATTCTTTAAAGTATTAAAGTATGAGATGATTAAGACATAATTAATTTATTATCAGAGCATCCCAAAACAGCTAAAAGGAAGAATCATCAGCTTTCCAGCTACAGAATTTCTTTAAATTATTTTTGCTTACAAAATATTTCTCTTTTGACACAAAAAGTATGTACTCATATTTTTTAAATGTAAATTAAATATTATTTAATATTTATAGCCTTGAAGGAGCAAAGTCACCTTAAGGCCTTTTATTGATTATTAAACTTTTTTTCCTGTGTTCTAAATTCACCCCACTCTATTATAAATAATGGATACCACTGTATTTATTGTATATAGGAACTCTTTTTTAGAATTAGTCAGCAAAGAATAAATATAAATTGCTATGTTATAGACAGCTCTCCCCTGTAGGCAAGCATTCCCTCCAATGCATTTCACAAAGAACCACATTTCCTTGAGGAAACATAATTTAAACCCTAGAGCAGTAAGACTCGTTCTCAGGGACATTGCCATGCCATTCAAGATATTGCTAAAAATTGCTCTGCAAATACCACTGCTGTCCCCAAAGATTTGGTTAAGGGATCATTTTACTTCATGTTATTCTTCAAAGGGAGCCAGGGACCATATCATTTTTATAACTGGAAAAGACCACAGCTTGCAGCCTTATAGATCTGGGCTCTGACGTCCAGGGAGTGAAAGGCCCTCCCTGAGGTCTCTTGGTGGTTGAGGGAGCTCTAGGGATCCCCTCAAGGATAGTTCGCCTCCAACTAAGCTGGAGCCAATGTTTATACATAGTCATGAAAGAATGAACTTGGGCTACAACAGGCTTCTACTGAGTGTTTAACAAATGCAGGATTATTTATTCAAAGCAATGAGACTTTTACAAAATGATTTTTCAGACTTCTCTCACCTTTTTCTCTTCAGAGAAGACTAAATTTTCCATTTTACTTGATTTTAAAACTTTGGATTTCTGAAGAAAACTTCACTTTTATTATCTTCCAACGGTTAAGATAGGAGAAATAAAGACTAACAATAAAATTGAATATGTCAGCCTTTTAAAATAAAGATTGAAAATAAATATACAGTTCAAATCACATCTCATACAGTTCTGTCTATAGTACAAGTCATGCAATGACTCATTTACATGCATCTTAAAGAGTTATCCATTTATAACTAATAAGGGGAAAGACTACTAATTTCATTACGTGAACCACAGGTTCTTATAGTCTATGACAAGTCCATCTTTTTCAGTTCAATTGTTGCTTTTAAAATACTCTGAAGCAGAGAGATGCCCAAAAGGAGCCATCACATGCATCATTTATAACCTGGCCTTGCTTTGTGGATCGGTAGGCTGAGGGATTTAATTGGGATAAATGGAGCAAGGAAAAGACCAATGAGCCAGTGTGAAATTTTCTTGTATGCATCAACAGGTTCCTGGTTAATTGACGGTGGTCCAATACTATTAAGAGCTGCTTCAAAAAGTTATTTATTATATTCCTTGAATAATTGAGACAGTCTATTAAAATGCAAAAAAGAGACATTTCCTCAACATCTAGGTCCCAAATCTATTATAAACAGAAATGGTTCAACATAATTGTCCTGACACAGTACACTCTTTAGAGTGTAACTACTAAAATAACAGTAAACTGAGAAACAGAAGATCTCAATTTTAGAGCCAAACAGGCATTTGTCCTTAGGCAAGCCACTAACCCCTGTGTGTCCCAGTTTCCTCCAACCGTAGGAAAGTTAGTTGTGTGAATAACAATGGCCAGATTACACATGACCAGAAATCAATACTGAGGAGAAGTAAGAGTTTCTAAGTACTACGTATTTTATTTTCTTCCACTTATCCACATATTTATTTGACAAGATTCAATTTAAATCCCATCTCCCTTATAAAACTTGCTAGACTCTCACCAGCTCTTATGACTTTTCATTCTATAAATATTTTCAATGTGCAACACAATACAAACATTTATGATATTATCTTTCATGGTTCCCTGTTTCTTCAGTTCAAATTTGATTCCCCACTGCAACTGTTAAGTACTCTGAGAATAAGGACTATCATATAGTAAGCATGTATAATATTGATTAAATTTATCCTTCTATGAAAAACCAGAATTGCAGGTGAAATCTGTTGAAAAGTTTGTTCATTACCTAAAATGTGCAGTACCACTTCTTTATTTCAGAATCACTGATTATTAATTAAATGTTTCTCATGAAAAATAAAATGTTACACATCATTCTATGCTGGCAGATAGTAACTTGCACTAGTGGGGGTGAGGATTTAATAATGTGTGTAACTGTTGAACCACTGTTGTAAACTTGAAACCATATAATATTATGTATCCACATACCTCAACAAAAAATTAAATTAAAATAAATAAAATGTTATACTCTATAAAGCTTTGACTTAATATCCTAACTCTTAATGATTCTCATTTCTTAAAAGGTGGGACATCTTGGGAGCTGTCATTGGTACAGAATGTGGAACAATAGAATCAGGCTTATCCATGGTCTTCCTCAAAGATGGAGAGAGGAAATTATGCACTCCGTACATGGACACTACTGGTTATGGGAACCTGAGGTTTTACTTCGTTATGGGTAGGTACATTTTGAACACATTTCATTGACCTAGGGCAGATTCTAGGCCAACACCTGTTCCTGAGGAAGTAAGATTGCTGTCTATGATATAAAAAAAATTATTAAATATGAGTTCTTCTCCATGAACAAAAGCTCATACCTGCTTCAGAATATCCTGGAACCTAAGAGAACTAGTCCTGGTATGCCTTCAGCTAGTCCTGAAGATAAAATGCCATGATAACTTCCTTCCATCTTTCCCTCAGTGGTGAGAGCTGAAAACACAGTGGGAGAGAAGCTAAGAGCACAGTGACCCCCTTGTCCAAAACCTCTTGCTTCCCAAGAAAATAATCATAATGTTAAGTCATTTGTTTCATGATATGTCATCATGGCATAACTCTTTTGTTGTGGGAGGCTAAGAAAGAAACAGATTTATAATACTTGATTAATATGCTCCACTTTATAATATGTGGCAAACACATAAAGAAAATGTTCCTAAGATATGTTTTTCTTTAGATTATTATAGAACAAATAAGTAGTTAAAAGTTAAGGAAAATACCCAAAGAGGAATTCGGAGGTTGAAATTTATGACCTTTAAATTTATCATTTTCATCAACAAGAGCCACAGTCACATATTCTTTCACCAGATGTCCTCCCATAAATGTGAGTAGATGTCATATGCCTCCTTTGTTGAGTGACTGGAAAAGCATAGACAACACCTGGAAGTGAAACAGGAAATAAACATTGTCCACCTTTGAACTTACTAGCAAAGGTGTCAATTCAGCAGGACAAACATGCCTCCTGAGTCTAGGCTTCAGCATTGGCTATTTATTTCTCTTATATTTCCCACTTTCTATAGCTCAGAGTGAACTGGTAAAATGTCAGATTATATCATGCTCTCAAACACATTGCCCATGTGATGTTACCTCATTTTCAATAATTATGTTTAATAATAGGGAAATTACGGATATAAAATATAACATAATCTTCCTACATTAAGGATTCCTCACCTTGACTCTGAAGTGATTTGTATATTAAAAACCCAGAGCTCATTTCCCTTAAATAATTAGAATTCAAACTGGCTCTTGTTTTATTTAGATTGATTCCTGGGAAACATTAAACACCCCAAAAAAGTCCCAATAGACATTCAGTATGCCAGTCTAATTTAAGTATTTTTCCTTTTTACCATTTTTGACACAATATATTTAAATTCTTGGTTTTTTTAATAGTGAAGCATACTAAATCAACCCATTCAGTGACTTTATGAAAAAATTGTCATGTCTGTATAATGCCTTTACATAAAAGATTAAGTCATTTTTAATTCTTTCTGAAACAAAGCAGATTATTAATTAATCAATTAAAACAATATGGACTATGAGGGCAAAAATTCATTTGAATGAGCCCAGAGTACATTATCCCAAATAAAAGCAAGTCCTTTCAACTTTTAAAATATAACAAATTCCTATTGAATATAGAGCACTGAACTAGGATATATGAAGAATACAATTGGGGAAAATAATGGTACCTAAATCACAGAATTGCTAATAAATGAGTTAATATGTGCAAAGATCTCAAAGTGGTGACTGACAGTAGTTAAGGCTCACTCTATGTGGGATTTTTCACGTATAAAAATTACTTAAGAGTCCTTGCCCGCAAGTAGCATCTAACTTTAAGGGAGAATGTACTGGAATGAAAATGTTATAAAAGTGCCGAGGAAGCTCTGGGTAATTGCGGTGGGAGGTAGAGCTTTATGAAGGAGATGGCATTTGAACTGGTCCTTGAAGGATAGACATGATTTAAATTTAAGGGGAGAAGAGAATTTCAAGCTGAGCCAGAATTCTGAGAAACAGCACCAGTATAAAGGTCATAGCTCAATGGAAAGATATTAATATGGAGCTGGGAGGACAAACTGGAGCCAGAGAAGTGATTTTCTTTGCCATTGTTCTAAGGAGTTGGGATTCTCTTTCTCTAGGCAGCACAGAGCCATCCAATGTTCCTGTTGGTTCTGTAACATACTCTCAACTGTATTTTAGAAAGATATTTTGGCAGGAATGTGAAGGGAAGGCTGAAATAATCAGAAATGAGGGGACAAGAGACCAGTTAGGGTAAGGTTGCCAGATCTAGGGGTAGGGGTGGAGGGGAAAGCCTCTTTAAATTTGAATTTCAGACAAAAACATATTTTTTTTTGTATAAATATAGTTCATGCGATGTATTTTTTTCTGGCAACCCAGAGTTAGGAGGCCGTTGTACTAGCTCAAGCAACACAGGAATTTTGGCAGTGACAATAGTAATAATGTGAGGGAGGGGGCAAAAAATAAATCACAGAAGAAGAGGAACCAACTGAAGTTCACACCCAGCGGACTGCAGGGGTTATGAGACCAGTACTGGAGAGGACATATTTCTCTCCTGGGTGACTGGAAGAATGGTGCCATTTCCCCAGATAGGAAGTGTCCAGTCAATCAAAAGCAAATGTGGAATAGTCGATTAGGTATGTCGTATGAGTAGTAGATCAGGTATAGTAGATGTGTTGAGGCTGACGCTTCTGAAAGGCCATCTGAAAGCAGACATTCCACTCAGGGTCTGAACTGGTTTGGAAAGTCATCAGCAGGGAGACGGTAACTGGAGCCACGGGAGTGGCTGTGTTCCCCCAGGCGTAAGGCAGAGTAAGCAAAGGACGTGAGAAATTCTCAGGGAGAGCCTCATCCAGGTGTAGGTGGAAGGAGAAAGAGTAGACATAGGGGACTGAGAAAGGACATAAAGAAATGCAGGAGGGAAGGTGCCATCCTACACTAAAGGAGGAAGGGAAGAGCGTGGTTCAGGGGAAGGTTGGCACGGAGGTGGTCTGCAGCGTAGGGAATGCCACACACCAAGAGGTCAACCAGCATGAGGCTGAGGGCCCACCAGGGACTTAGGAGAGAGTATTCCCCATGGTGCGGTGCCTGGGGAGCCAAAGTACGAAGAGTTCAAAGAAACAAAGACTTGAGTCACTGAAAGCAGACGGCTTGTTCAAGCAGTTCATCAGTAATCAAGAAGAAAAGAAATGGTGTCTGAATCTTGTGGAGAAGCAGAATCCAGCAACAGTGTTTTTAGGATGGAATATGATAGGACAGGATAGGACAGGACAGGACAGGAGTGGATAGGACAGGACGGGACAGGACTGGATAGGACAGGATAGGACAGGATAGGGTAGAATAGGACAGGACAGGACAGAATAGGATAGGACAGGATAGGGTAGGACAGGACAGGACAGAAGAGGACAGGATAGGGTAGGATAGGACAGGACTGGATAGGACAGGACAGGACAGGATAGGGTAGGATAGGACAGGACAGGAGTGGATAGGACAGGATAGGACAGGCCAGGACAGGACTGGATAGGATAGGAAAGGACAGGATAGGACAGGCCAGGATGGGACAGGCCAGGAAAGGACTGGATAGGATAGGACAGGACAGGATAGGGTAGGATAGGACAGGACAGGACTGGATAGGACAGGACAGGACAGGACAGGATAGGATAGGAAAGGACAGGATAGGACAGGCCAGGATGGGACAGGCCAGGAAAGGACTGGATAGGATAGGACAGGACAGGATAGGGTAGGATAGGACAGGACAGGACTGGATAGGACAGGACAGGACAGGACAGGATAGGATAGGAAAGGACAGGATAGGACAGGCCAGGATGGGACAGGCCAGGAAAGGACTGGATAGGATAGGACAGGACAGGATAGGGTAGGATAGGACAGGACAGGACAGGATAGGACAGGACAGGACAGGACTGTATAGGACAGGATAGGACAGGCCAGGACAGGACTGGATAGGACAGGACAGGACTAGATAGGATAGGACAGGACAGGATAGGACAGGCCAGGAAAGGACTGGATAGGATAGGACAGGACAGGACTGGATAGGACAGGACAGGACAGGACAGGACAGGACTGGATAGGACAGGACAGGATAGGATAAGATAGGACAGGACAGGATAGGATAGGACAGGATACAGTAGGATAGGACAGGACAGGATACAGTAGGATAAAACTGTACCTATAGAAAGGACTTTAAAACTTTGGTAGCTGATGAAAAGAAAGCAATATGGGAAGAGATGTTAACATATGATAGGCAGTTTATAAGTCATCCCTCACTAAATATGGTGCCTGGGAAAAATCACTGGCTGATTGTTAATCTAGACCAGACCACACTCCCTTTCTATCAGGCCCTGACTGTGTGTTCTTCCTGCTTTCATCACTTGGTTCATATCAACCTACAGTGACTTCCATTTCTGGAAAGTTTACTCACCTTTCAAAATTCGGTTCAAAGTTCCTTCAGTCTTACATTCATTTTTTCAACACAAATTCACTGAAGACCAGTATCAGCACTGTTCTTAGAGCGAGAATGCAGTGAACAAGACAAAAATAACCTAACACACCTCATTCATTCATTTATTATTACCTCAACAAATATTCACTGAGCATCTCCCATATGCCCAGCTCTTTTAACCCAGGCTTGTATCTCCCCTCTGAGTTCTGTCTGTGACTATGGTAGCATAGCACAGTATACTGCTAGTTATCATTCTTTGGTGTATATCAGTCTTGTTTTCCTTGCTAAATAACACTTTCTGAGGGCAGGGCTTACTTCCCTTTCTAGCCCAATGTCCCACACATAGTAAATAAAATCACTTTGCCAACACAAAGAAGTATGTTAAAAGCTACATAAAACAGGTTTTTAATATTTTTAAACTGTCCATCTAGTTTTTTTTGAAATATTCTGCACTTTAATTGCTGTACAAGATGCCTCTGGAGTCATACCTTTCCGCAGTATATCAAAGTGCATGAAACTGAAGAAGCATCCATATCTTTCTGTAGGAGCTGCTGTCACTGCCACTTCACAGAACTGATAAATTTCCCCCAGAGGGATCTTTCCGATAGAGTCTGTCATCATTTTAAAATCTGGGCTCCTTTTGGACTTTCTTCTTCTGTCATTCTGGGCTGGATGAGCTCTGCCGTGTGTTTCAATTCTCTCTGAAAGGCAGGTGCAGTTCACGAACTATTCGTAAGAGAGCAGAGGAGTTTTATAGGGAACAAATTAATGAAATTAGAACTGATGGTTCAGTTCCTACGTCTCTAGGTATGGTGCTTTAAACCCACACTGCCTATGACCTTTCACCTTTTTTTGTTCTTTTTCGTAAGTATTTAATGTGTTCTTAATAGAGAAAACACATTTTTTAAAGGGGAATTTAGTTTTCATATAGGTATTACCCAGAGAGACTATTTACAATAACTTTACTAGCTATACTTACCATAACATAGATGTAATGAAATGCTTAAAAATGTATCAGATGGCAAATCATAAGACTTTCTCTTAAGTTGTTGCCCTAGAACAATAAACTTCTATTAGAATGAGGTCTACATGAACACCGTATCTGACTTCTCTATTCCCAGTTCAGATTAGTTAACTCAGTAAATAGTTATCATATGCCAAGTTACAAGATGTAACATGCTACGTTTCAGTGCTTCAGAAATACCATCTCCCAAGTTACTTCTGTTATTATGCTCTTTCTTATTCTGATTAGGTTCTAGCTTTCTTACTTATAACACCACATAGCAGTAATTTCTTTCCAAGATCAGACCCTGATTACCCAGACAGAGATTGAGCCAGACATTTATAGTAATTGACTCTCTCTCTTTATTCTTCCTCTATCCTTCCTTCCTTTCTTTCTTCAGATGGTAAATCTCAACCATTATTTGTTGATTCTACTAGGTTAACTATGAGAGGGTAACCTTGTTCTATAGTTTTGAGGTTGCCTTACTGTCACTGTAGAGTATTAACAACAGAAAATGCCTATAGATAAAAATGCACATTAATGAACTGGAGGGGTGTTCTTTTTAAAGTTAATAAAATTAAAAAGTTAATGCTATGTATTTTGGACCTTAGGGATAGAATATTTGCAAGGAAATGCATGCACATGCCTGTGTTCCTCCTAATGTGTTTAATGCTGTTATGAATGAAAATAGCGGTGGGGAGAGGCTTCTAGTTAGATGTGTAATCCTTTAAAATCCCAGTCATGAAGACAGTTGGTAGAAGCCAGAAATAGGAGGGATTATTGGCCAAATGGAGCAGTGAAAAGAATAGAAGGTCAAGGGCTAAGAGACATAACATTAACTCTTTCCTACCAGTTAGTGAAAAAGATCCTTAGGTTCAGGAACCTGCTCTGTTACTCAGTTTAATCATCAGGATATTCTTAATTACCTTTCAATTCTAATGGTTCATCATTTCACATTACTATAAAGTGGAGTGATCAAGAATAAGCTACTCTGTGTGCCTTCCAACAATCAAAAGGGATACCAGAAGCAAAAATGAAAAGCGTAAAGTGAACTGCACTCAAAATACAAATAGTTAATATGTGCTAAAATATTAAAAATACTACATGCAACAGTGTAAAAATGCTTCTTCAGAAATATTTGATGCAGCAAGTCACCAAACTTTTTTAAAAACCATAATCATCAAAAAAAAAACCAAACCATAATCAATAGGTTCTGAACTTTGACCATAAAGACCTCAAATATAGGGAAGTAATGGTTTTTATTTAAAAAGCAGAACACACCTCTTCAATGTGAGTTAAAATATGGACATAATGTCATAGCTCATTGCAGACTATTATTTGAGTAATCTCATTAAGCAAATAGTTACTTTGGCCTTCACAAATGTCAAGTCTTTGATCTTTAGGATGGCCCATGGGAACTGTCTTCATAAATTATTTCCTTGGGTCTGGTTACCTTTGTTTAGGGTCATCCTTAAGGGACATCTGGGTTCTATAATTATTTTTTATTCTGAAAGTCAACATTATACCTGACATGTTTCTGGATGCAAGTTGATACTAACAACTTAAAACTTTTGTACAGGAGGAATTTGTGATCCCGGAGATTCTCATGAAAATGATCTCACCCTGTATGCAAAGATTGAAGGAAGAAAAGAACACATTATATTGGATACCCTTTCCTATTCCTCATATAAGGTACAAAGGCCAATCCATGTGCCATATCCCCGCTCCCCCAGACCTCCCTCATCAAGCCAAGGACAAAACCACAAAAATCATGGTAGATACAGAGGATAACCTTCTCTTCTACCACCCCAGGAAATTGCCAGATTTCTTTAAAAGTTATATGGATATTTTAACAGTTACTTTTTGTCTTGTTGCAAACAAAAAATGAGATTTTATCAGGTAGAATGAATTACAACAACTGTGACAATAAGGTGGAGCCAAATACTCTGACAGTTTTTCTTGTTCCCAGAAAACCCTGAAAGTGGCTCTAATTATGCAGCCTCACAGACTTGCTATCAGCCATGAGTATTTACCTAGCATTCTGAGATCTCCTAGGCATAAGACACTGTAGAAGTACAAGTTATTAGTACCTTTGCTTTTTTTCTTTGCTAATTAGAGCCACTGAGGGTGACCTTTTCCCATTTCCCCTTAGATTTACGACAGGTGTTGGTTCTGGTTATTTGTAAACACCTTCAAAATTATTTATGATATATCAAAAGGTATAGAATTATTTTTTTCTAATAGTAGATTTGTGCTGAGACTACACTCACACATTCATTATTAGTTAGGCTTCTCTCCACATTGGTAGCAGCCTGCACACTTTGAAGAACTTGAACACAGCCAATATCTATTATCTCATGGTTTCAGTTAGGAAAACAGGAGATAAACACCGAGGCTATAATAGAGAACAACCAGAGAAAGTATTCAACACACTCCACATGCTCAGGTGACTCAAATTACACCATTTGGAATTTCACAATGGACTACTTTTCCATTTGTGACCAGGTCAGAGATACACCTGCTCTGAGGTGTATCTCTGCATGCCTAAAACTGAATAAATTATATAATTTATCATGGATTAACTCATTGTCTCTGGATGTTTGTGCTTAGAGTCCTGTTTTCAGAATACCTAATTTGGGAAACCATTCTAAAAGAAGACTGTGATCAAGTGTAAATGTCAAGTTGTGATGTCTGAAATGGATACATATGGTTTGTTAACTTTTAAAGACCTTACACCAATTTATTGTGGGTTGAGAGGGCCTGACCATCATACAGAGTTCCCAGTGTCTCCAAAGGAGGAATTGTGAGGGACTAAAACAAATACCCTCTGAGGACAGCATCTACCACATGAAATAACAAATGGAACACATAGGACATTTCCTGGTGCTTAATGAATGGCAGTTGTGTACACAGTAAGATTAAATCTAGGGAGATTCTCAAGATGGCAGCATAAGTAAGGTGGCAGAAATCTCCTCCCAAAACCATACATACAAGTACAACTATTCCCAAAAGAATGACCAGAAGATACAGTACTCGAGCCAGGCTGTATCTGCAAGACTCCAACATCTCATGGAAAAGGGTAAGATACAAAACTGTGACCCAGCCGGAGGAAAAGAATCAGAGTGGGGAGGGAGTGGAAGCACAGGACTGCTAAATAAACAGCCCTAGTAATCTGCCTTGGGAGCACAGACACACATTGCATGGTATACTGGATATTAGAGGAGCGGAAAAGCAAAATCCAAGATTAAGACTGCGAACAGGTTCCCACAGCCGGCTGCCCTGGGACAAAAGAAAAGCAGGCCCTTTAAAAGTCTTAAAGGGGCAAGGGTTTAACAGGTGGACAGAATCGTCCCTGCACACTCAGCCCAGCAGGTTGGGAACCTTAAAGAACTTTAGGAGCCCTAATGCCCTGGGTGGCAACACAGCTCCAAATCCCCTCACAGCGATAAGCAGCCTCCTATTCCTTCCCCCTCACTGGTACTGCAAGTGAACCAACTGACCCGCCATTCCTGCGGAACAGCTGGGAGCAGCCCCACATACAGCAACCACACAGCTTAACACAGAGGCTTCTCCCTGCATGCGGCTAGCGGGCCCAGACTCAGAGGCTTCTCCCTGCATGCAGTTGACTGGCACAGATAGCAGAGATTGGTGCAGAGTCCAGAAGCCATGAAGGGGGTCTGTTCTTGTGTAAGTACACACGCCATTCACCTGCAACCCCCGCCAGTGCCCTAGGCCATCCCAAGGGCCACCCTACCCACAGCAGCTCAGAGGATTAACCCAGAGGCTGATCCCTGCATGCAGTTGACTGGCACAGACAGCAGAGATGGGCACAGAGTCCAGGAAGCAAGAAGAGGCTCTGTTCTCATGGCAGAACACGCAATGCTGACCTGCAACCCTGTCAGTGCCCTAGACCATCCCAAGGGCTGCCCCACCTATGGCAGTTCAGGGGATTAACTCAGAGTCTGATCCCTGCATGCAGTTGACTGGCACAGACAGCAGAGACAGTCACAGAGACTGGGAGGCACAAAGGGGCTTTGCTCTTGTGGCAGGACATGCTTTGCTGGCCTGCGACCCCTGCCATTACCCTAGGCCATCTCAAATGCTTCCCTGTCCATGGCAGCTTAGGGAATTAACCCAGAGGCAGCTCCCTGTGTGTGGTTAACCAGCACAGACAGTGCAGACAGACAAGGTGATGAACAAACAGGAAGGGACTTTGTTCTCTCAGCTGAAATATGTGCCACTAGCCAGAGAACACTCCTATCACCATTAAAAGGCAGAAGAACTTTGTTCAGTCAAAAATCCCTCAAACACCAGAGAGAGGGCTTGGTGACACTGAAATCACCAATCTTCCTGAAAAAGAATTCAAAATGAAAGTCATATGCATGCTTATGGAGCTACACAGAAATATTCAACAGCTAAGGGTGAATTCAGGAGGGAGATAACAGAAATGAAACAAACAATGAGCAGACTGGACGAGGTTGAAGTGACTGCTAATGGAATAGAAATCTGAGAACAGGAATCCAGAGAAGTTGAGGCAGAGAGAGATAAAAGGATATTTAGGAATGAAAGAATATTAAGAGAACTGTGTGACCAATCCAAACGGAACAATATTCACATTATAAGGGTACCAGAAGAAGAAGAGAGAGAAAAAGGGGTAGAAAGTGTCTTTGAAGAAATAATTGCTGAAAACTTCCCAAATCTGGGGAAGGAAATAATCTATCAGACCATGGAAGACCACAGATCTCCCAACAGAAGGGACCCAAGAAGGACAACACCAAGACATATAATACTTAAAATGGCAAAGATTAAAGACAAGGACAGAGTATTAAAAGCAGCCAGAGAGAAAAAATGATCACCTACAAAGGAAAACCCATCAGGCTATCATCAGACTTCTCAGCAGAAACCTTACAGGCCAGAAGAGAATGGCATGATATATTCAATGCAATGAAACAGAAGGGCCTTGAACCAAGAATACTGTATCCAGCAAGATTATCATTTAAATTTGAAGGAGAGACTAAATAGTTCCCAGATAACCAAGAGTTGAGGGAATTTACCTCCCACAAACCATCTCTACAATGTATTTTAAAGGGGCTGCTCTAGATGGAAGTATACCTAAGGCTAAATAGCTATCACCAGAGAAAATAAGACCACAGCAAAGAAAATAGACCAACTAAATGCAAAATAAAATTACCTATCCACAAAATAAGTCAAGGGAAACACAAAGAGTACAGAATAAAACACCTAACATATAAAGAGTAGAGGAGGAAGAATAGGAGGGGAGAGAAATAAAAAATCATCAGACCGTGTTTAGAATAGCATAATAAATAGAGTTAAGTTAGACAGTTAGAGAGTAAAGAAGCTACCCTTGAACCTTGTGTAACCACAAATCCAAAGTCTGCAATGACAATAAGTATATACCTATCGATAATCACCCTAAATGTAAATGGACTGAATGCACCAATCAAAAGACACAGAGTAATAGAATGGATAAAAAAAAAAAGCAAGACCCAACTATATGTTGCCTACAAGATACTCACTTCAAACCCAAAGTCATACACAGACTAAAAGTGAAGAGATGGACAAAGATATTTCATGCAATCAACAGGGAGAAAAAAGCAATACTTGTATTAGGCAAAATAGACTTCAAAACAAAGAAAGTAACATGAGATAAAGAAGGATATTACATAATAATAAAGGGGTCAGTTCAACAAGAGTATATCACCAGTAGAAATATCTATGGAACCAACATAGGAGCACCTACACATGTGAAAAAAATACTAACAGAATTAAAGGAGGAAATAGAATGCAGTGCACTCATTTTAGGAGACTTCAACACACCACTCACTCCAAAGGACAGATCAACCAGACAGAAAATAAGTAAGGACACAGAGGCACCAAACAGCGCATTATAAAAGATGGACCTAACAGACATCTACAGAACTCTACACACAAAAGCAGCACATACACATTCTTCTCAAGTGCACATGGAACATTTTCCAGGATAGATCACATACTAGGCAACAAGAAGAGCTTCAGTAAATTCAAAAAGATTAAAATTGTACCAACCAACTTCTAAGATCACAAAGGTATAAAACTAGAAATAAATTGTACAAAGAAAATGAAAAGGCTCACAAATGCATGGAGGCTTAATAACATGCTCCTAAATGGATCAATGGCCAAATAAAAACAGAAATCAAGCAATACATGGAGACAAATGAAAACAACAGCACAATGCCCCAACTTTTGTGGGACACAGTGAAGGCAGTCGTAAGAGGAAAGTATATAGCAATCCAAGCCAATTTAAGAAGGAAGAACAATCCCAAATGAATAGTCTAAATTCACAATTATTGAAACAGGAAAAAGAACAAATGAGGCCCAAAGTCAGCAGAGGCAGAGACATAATAAAGATCAAAGAAGAAATAAATAAAATTGAGAAGAATAAAACAATACAAAAAGTTAATGAAGCCAAGAGCTGATTCCTTGAGAAAATAAACAAAATAGATAAACCCCTAGCCAGACTTATTAAGAAAAAAACAGAATCTACACACATAAACAGAATCAGAAATGAGAAAGGAAAAATCACTACAGACACTGCAGAAATACAAAGGATTATTAGAGAATAATATGAAAATCTATATGGTAACAAACTGAATAACCTAGAAGAAATGGAAAGCTTTCTGGAAAAATACAACCTTCCAAGACTGACCCAGGACGAAACAGAAAATCTAAACAGACCAATTACCAGCAACGAAATTGAATTGGTAATCAAAAAACTACCCAAGAACAAAACCCCCAAGCCAAATGGACTCTCTGCTTAATTTTATCAGACATTTAGAGAAGACATAATATCCATTCTCCTTAAAGTTTTCCAAAAAAATAGAAGAGGAGGAATACTTTCAAACTCATTCTATGAAGCCAGCATCACTCTAATACCAAAACCAGGCAAAGACCCAACAAAAAAAGAAAACTACAGACCAATATCCCTGATGAAAATAGATGCAAAAATACTCAACAAAATATTAGCAAACTGAATTCGAAAATACATCAAGAGGATCATACAACATGATCAAGTGGGTGTCATCCCAGGGATGCAAGGATGGTACAATATTCGAAACTCCATCAACATCATCCACTATATTAATAAAAAGAAGGACAAAAATCACATGATCATCTCTGTAGATGCTGAAAAAGCATTGAAAAAATTCAACATCCATTCATGATAAAAACTCTCAACAAAATGAATGTGTAAGACAAGTACCTCAACATAATAAAGACCATATATGACAAACTCACAGCCAACATTATACTTAACAGCAAGAAGCTGAAAGCTTTTCCCCTAAGACTGGGAACAAGACAAGGATGCCCCTCTCCCCGCTTTTATTTAGCATAGTACTGGACGTCCTAGCCACGGCAATCAGACAACACAAAGAAATAAAAGGCATCTAGATTGTAAGGAAAAAGCCAAACTGTCACTGTTTGCAGATGACATGGTACTATACATAAAAATACCCTAAAGAATCCACTCCAAAACTACTAGAAATATCTAAATTCAGCAAAGTTACAGGACACAAAATTAATACACAGAAATCTGTTGCATTCCTATACACTACCGATGAACTAGCAGAAAGAGAAATCAGGAAAACAATTCCATTTACAATTGCACCAAAAAGAATAAAATACCTAGGAATATATCTAACCAGGGAAGTGAAAGACCTATACACTGAAACTACAAGACACTCTTAAGAGAAATTAAAGAGGTCACTAATAAATGGAAATTCATCCCATACTCTTGGGTAGGAAGAATTAATATTGTCAGAATGGCCATCCTGCTTAAAGCAATCTACAGATTCAATGCAGTCCCTATCAAAATACCAACAGCATTCTTCAACAAACTGGAACAAATAGTTCTAAAATTCATATGGAACCACAAAAGACCCCGAATAGCCAAAGCAATCCTGAGAAGGAAGAATAAAGCAGGGGGGATCTTGCTTCCCAACTTCAAGCTCTACTACAAAGCCATAGTAATCAAGACCGTTTGGTACTGGCACATAAACAGACCCATAGACTGGCAGAACAGAATAGAGAGTCCAGACATTAACCCAAACATATGTGGTCAATTAATATATGATAAAGGAGCCATGGATATACAATGGGGAAATGACAGCCTCTTTAACAGCTGGTGTTGGCAAAACTGGACAGCTACATGTAAGAGAATGAAACTCAATCATTGTCTAACCCCATACACAAAAGTAAGCTCGAAATGGTTCAAAGACCTGAATGTAAGTCATGAAACCATAAAACTCTTAGAAAAAAACATAGGCAAAAATCTCTTGGACCTAAACATGAGCAACTTCTTCATGAACATATCTCCTGGGCAAAGGAAACAAAAGCAAAAATGAACAAGTGGGACTATATCAAGCTGAAAAGCTTCTGTACAGCAAAGGACAACGTCAATAGAACAAAAAGGCGTCCTACAGTATGGGAGAATATATTCATAAATGACATATCCAATAAAGGGTTGACATCCAAAATATATAAAGAGCTCATGCACCTCAACAAACAAAAGCAAATAATCCAATTAAAAAATGGGCAGAGGATCTGAACAGACACTTCTCCAAAGAGCAATGCAAATTAAAGCCACAATGAGATATCACCTCACATCAGTTAGCATGGCTACCATCCAAAAGACAAACAACAACGAATGTTGGTGAGGATGTGGAGAAAGGGAAACCCTCCTGCACTGCTGGTGTGGATGTAAATTAGTTCAACCATTGTGGAAATCAATGGAGGTTCTTCAAAAAACTCAAAATAGAAATACCATTTGACCCAGAAATTCCACTCCTAGGAATTTACCCTAAGAATGCAGGAGCCCAGTTTGAAAAAGACATTGCACCCCTCTGTTTATCACAGCACTATGTACAATAGCCAAGAAATGGAAACAACCTAAGTGTCCATCAGTAGATGAATGGATAAAGAAGATGTGGTACATATACACAATGGAATATTTTTCAGCCATATGAAGAAAACAAATCCTACCATTTGCAACAACATGGATGCAGGTAGAGGGTATTATGCTTAGTGAAATAAGCCAGGCGGAGAAAGACAAGTACCAAATGATTTCACTCATCTGTGGAGCATAACAGCAAAGATAAAACTGAAGGAACAAAACAGCAGCAGACTCACGGAACCCAAAAATGAACTAACAGTTACCAAAGGGAAAACGACTGGGGAGGATGGGTGTGAAGGGAGGGTTAAGGGGGAAAAACGGGCATTACTATTAGCACACATATTGTAAGGGGGCCGGCATAGGGAAGGCTGAACAACACAGAGAAGATAAATAGTGATTCTATAGTATCTTATTATGCTGATGGACAGTGACTGTAATGGGGTATGTAGTGGGGACTTGATAATGGGGGGAATCTAGTAACCACAATGTTGCTCATGTAATTGTATATTAATAATACCAAAATTTTTAAAAAAAGATTAAATCTAGAAAAATTCACAGATTCTCATAGGGAGAATTATGAATAACTTTGCTTTCCTTGTTTCAAAGGTTCCATCTTTAGTTTCTGTAGTCATCAATCCTGAACTTCAGACTCCTGCAACCAAATTTTGTCTCAGGCAAAAGAACCATCAAGGACATAATAGGAATGTCTGGGCTGTAGATTTTTTCCACGTCTTACCTGTTCTCCCTTCCACAATGTCTCACATGATACAGTTCTCCATTAATCTGGGATGTGGAACGCATCAACCTGGTAACAGGTAGGAAGCCCTATTTTTTTAGTGTGAACTAACTAAAAATGAACTCATAGACTTGGCTATTAAATCAGAGCAACTTCTCAGTAGGTTTTCAGCTGGATTTTTAAATAAAATATCCATTTAAAAGATACACCATTTACCCCCCAAAAAAGTTCTTCAATTACTATGTGAGGTATGACTGGATAGATTTTAACTAGAAATGACTTCATTCTAAGAGTTTGGTCTTACTTATCAGGAGTGTGCTTGCACACGCTGTGGCAGCCATCCACTCTGACAGATTGCTGAGAGAGAATAAAAAAGAAATAACTGAAAAAAGCTTGACCTCATGTTGGTTATTGACCCCCTAATAATAGGCACGGAAATCAATTAGCACCTCAAGAGCGATGACTTCTCAGTTTCACTTGCCAAAGTGTTGCTCTGTGTCCTTTCTAAGAATTTCATCAGTCTCATTTTCACAGGATGAAGTGGCAGTGTGAGACATGGTAATTGCCTTTCCATCTATCAGATTCAAGAGCACACATTCACGTTCCTATTTGTTGTCTTTAAACCGGAGTTTGTTTCTATAACAGTAACTTAACTGCTTGCCCTTTGAAGGCGGGTCGGACTTCAGTGCAGGGGATGCAACCATTTGGCAAACAGCAACTTAAAATTTTTAGACTAGTTCTACATATGTTTAAAGTGCTCAGGCTGAAGTGAATAATTTCCTTTTGTTTGTTATCTTTGCCCTTTCTTGTCATGCTTGTTTGTATGTTACCAGTGTCAGCTTAGAGTTTTCCACCAACCACGGGCGTTCCTGGTCCCTCCTCCACACTGAATGTTTACCGGAGATCTGTGCTGGACCCCACCTGCCCCATAGCACTATCTACTCCTCTGAAAACTACAGCGGGTAAGTGCTCTAAGACATCCAGAGACTGGAAGCTGTGGTGCAGACACAAAATCAATGGGTAAGCCTAAGACGAGTGGTTTTTGGCATAATAGATAGACTGTCCTCTCTTTTTCAGCTGATTTAGGCATGAACTTGTTAAAAAAAAAAAAAAAAGGGCAGTAACTGTGGTGAATCTGATGCAAGACCACAGTTTGTAGGGCTATTCATTATTTGTGTAGTTGGCTTTTATACAAATTTAATTTCTATATAGTGATCCTGTGGTATTGCCAAAGTGCTTATTGCCAAAATACATACTAATGGGAAGATGCAGTATAGAGAAGGGGAAGCAAGTTAAGCTTTTGGAATTGAAGATTCAAATCCGATTTTCGCTGTCTTCTTGTGTAATAATACTGTCTAACTTCCCACGTCTTTCCACATAAATTAAGGACTGTGACACACCCCTTTCAGGGATATTAACAGAATTAAAGATGACTATATAAATATTTACCACTTTATAAAATAAGCAGTAGACAAATAATAAAACTATTTCCGAGAATGGCAAAATTAAATTGAGAATTATTTTCTAGTCTAGCCTCTCTTTAAATATGCACAGCACTTTAAATGTATAGGAAAAATATCAAAAGTAATCAATTGCAGCCTATGTCTGCACAGATGCTTATCATAGAATAATATCTAAGATCTGATGTAAAAATTTCTAAAAGGAGTGTCTAAAAACAAAATAAATATCATTTATTATGTTACTCTAGTGTGATATGGATGTTTTTAGAAGTTACATGTCTGTTTTAAAACTGTAAACAAACTCCACAGGTGAATATAAAGAGTTTATTACCAAATTTTAGTGCTATCCCAAGCATTCAGAGACCAGAACATCAGAAGCATGTAAAATGGATTCAAAAGATGTGAACACGGTTGTGAAGCTGTTTTGTGCTGAATCTCTTGCAGGTGGAACCGAATAACAATTCCCCTTCCTAACGCAGCACTAACCCAGGACACCAGAATTCGCTGGAGACAAACGGGACCAATCCTTGGAAACATGTGGGCAATTGATAATGGTTAGTTTGTGCCTGTCACAATCACATGCCATTGATGTAGCGTCTTCCTGTGCTTTTGTTCGTCAGCACTAACTTAATCATGTTTCTAAGTCATGGTCTTGGGATTCATTAAACGCCCTTTCTTCCCTTTCTCCTTTGCATTCCGTTAGACGCACAGTCAGAAAACAAGGCAGCAGAGTCAGCAATATTAGATGCTAGAATGTTTCAACATACATAATTTTCAAAGGCATAAAGCCCTAAACTCAAATTCACAGTTGATGACAAGGAATATCCTAACATTTTCTTTGAATGTTTATACAAAATTAACATAAATACTTAACATACTGCGTGTATTAAAATAAGACCCATTCTTCTCCTAGTAACTTCCACAACATCTGGAAGGCTTATCTCTTAGATGCAGACACCACATATAAGGAAACATCTCTAAAATGAAACTTCTGAAGTGAAACTTCTACTTTCTTTTCAAAAAACAGTATAAAAGGAAGATTTAGATGTACGTAAAATATCCTACATTATCTTTAATTTTTAAGTGAATTCTTGATAGTTTTTTGCATCACTTTAAGGCCATATCACTTAAAACAAGCACAAAGAAGATATTTAAGCTATTGAAGTGCATGACTGTCAATTTCTTATACTTGTTATTAATAGCCAAGTGTCTGGTTTTTAAATCATTCTAATTATAGGCAGATTCATGGATTTCCTATTTTCAGAGATTATACCAGTTTGAAGGATTATATATTAAGGAAGTAGAAAGAGAGAGAAAGAAGGACAAAATGTCAATATTTTAGCAAATTTAGCATAGCTACTGATTGGTGTTAATTGTATAAAGTAGGAAAAGCCTACACCATTATTTAATGCTGGTTTTCCATGTCTTAATAATCTTTTTGTTATTTTTGAACAGTTGAAAATTTGATCAAATACATTCTTGAATCTAATGAAATACATTTTTGAAACTCAGAAATAACTTAGGCAAGATAATTTGCTCATGAGCCAATGCAAATTCTTTAAAAAATCTGTACTCAAAGACCAATAAAAAGCCCAGATTTCAGAGACCAAAGCTATATGAATATAAACATAGTGGGCATTTGCAAAACCATCTAAAGATGAATTTGTTAAAATTAAGTTTCTCCATTGATAGAACATCTTGCATAGCATTTGAATGATTACACTTGTTAATTAGCTCTAGAGAAGAGTATGTGCCTCTGAGTAGTGAAACATGGGTGACTTTTCCCTGGTTGTCATACTTTTCAATAATAAATTTATATTACTTAAATAATGATAAAAGAAATTGAAAACCGGCAATGAAATAAAGCAAATGAGAAAAGTTTAAGTACAATGATACACACATAAACCTATGAAAAGAATATCTAAATTTCCTAAAAAAGGCCATTGTTACATGATTCCAAGTCAGTTAGTGTTTACCTCACCTCCTGAGTTACCACCATCACACATTGAGTAGAATGAGAAAAGATAAAGATACAAGGAATGAGCAAGGCTCCCAGTGTGTATCAAATGCAGAACTTGGGGCAGAATCTCTGCAATTCTGTTGTCATCCTATATGTGATGCTTTCACAAAAACAGGACCTGCTCTCTGGCTTCTTCATAAGGCAAAGAAAACACACACACTCACTCCTTCCCAAGAGAAATGTGTGCTTACTTGCCAAAGAACACCTCTGAAATCTCTCCTATTTCACAATGGAATTCCAAAATTATGTCAAGGAAAACAAGCATAGAAAAGAAACAGGTCAATATTCTACTTCTGTTTGGTATACTCTGCCTTCATGGTGAAGTTGGCTTTGCTAGCAAGTACAGAAAATATTTTGGAAGTTATCCTGCAAGTTCGTAGCAAAATGGAAAATCTACAACAAAGTATGTTTGCTGTCACTTTTTAATTTTTTCAACTTGATTACATTAATGAGACTAATGGAGAAAGCAAATCTGTCCTTTCCTAACTTTTAGGAAAAAGGAGTTTATAAATTTTCCCATGCTGTGAATCCTAATGATTCCATAATTAGCAGGGAGGGGTAACAACAAAATTATTAATTGCAATTTTTGCATTGATTTTAAGTCTTCTTTTATTGAATTTTTTATGATGGAAACTCTTTGAACTCTGTGATGGGTACACTATAGGGCAACCTTTAGAGTGACCCAACAGAAATGCAGTGAACCACTTGCAGTACTCAGAGCAACTCCTATTGCAGATCAAGTGTGCTGGGAAAACAATCCATAGGCTTTTCCAGGCTAAAGAAGAATGAAGCCCCTTTCTGGTCCTCAGCACTTGGTATCCAGTGGAGCCCATCAAGGCAGATGGAATACTGTATAAAGTAGGAAAAGCCTACACCATTATTTAATGCTGATTTTCCATGTCTTAATAATCTTTTTGTTTTAAGGATACTTAACCCCAATATGGTCACCATGATCATAGCCATGTGGTGCCAGGCAGCAGGGCCAGCATGCAATGTTTCGTTTTTTCTTTTTTCAAAGGAATATTATCCAATTTTAAAAAATAGGGAGGGACACTGAGGCTGAGACAGAATAAGTCACTTAGCCAGTTTCCCAGAGAGAGCTGGAATTTGAATCTAGGGTTATGTGACACTTAAAACCAGTAGTTTAACTACTCAACCTGCTATCTAATCTCTTCCTCAACATCAGTTTCCTTCAGCAAGAGTTTTTCCTGGGCAGCTTTGCACCTCACTTGAATTACTGTACTTGTTAATTGGCTCCAGAAAATATGTGCTTGAAGCAGTAGGCCACAGGAAAGTTTACTTTAAAATAAGATCATTTAACTATTTTGACATGATTGCAAGACAGAGAAGAAAATTATAATGAATGGTAAATTTGTTTATGCCTGAAATTGAATATGTGAGGTCTTAACAACCATTGAATCTCTAATTCCTCATTGGTTTTGTTCCATTTTACACTATTTTGTATTACTGGTGTATTGATTATCCAAGGCTTAGTATCTTTGAATGTATGTCCTGAATATCTCAGAAACTACCATGTGACACTCAAGAACCCTTTTCTCATCATTCCAAAGACTAGAATTTAGGTTTATAATATCACTATCAGTCAAGCCTACCATTTAGAAAAAGGTTCACATTACAAAGAAGATTTTATGCTGAACACAAATTTTAACTCCCCATTTCAGAAAGGATGGAGTAATATTCAGAAATATATATAAAAATCATCAGCAGTATATTGATTACCCCAGATAAGAATGAAAAGTATAGTTTTTGAATTGTAACCTCTCCATTTCATGATCAAGTTGATTCTTTGTAAATTCTTTACTTCTACCTAAAGAAATTAAACTTCATAGAAAGTTCCAGGCAGAAACACTAATAATATTCTGCCTGAATATTATTGTAGCTGAAGAGACTCCATTAAGGAACCCAAATCATATGTTCCTACCTTCTTTGCTATGAAACATTAAAATCTTAAAACAATTAAAGTTAAAACTGTTCCAGCAGATTTGTAACTAAGACTTACCTTATCTTACAGCACTTTATACGTCAGCCTGGATTCTTGTGCACAACACAGACACAATAGACTAGATTTCATGGGCCATGCTACACGAAATTGATTCATGTGCTAGTCATGTTCTTGGTTTTCCAGTTGTTTGGCCATTTTTTTACATACTGTCTTTTGCCCTGCAGTTTATATTGGTCCATCATGTCTCAAGTTCTGCTCTGGCAGAGGACAATGCACTCGACATGGTTGCAAGTAAGCTCTTTAAAAAAAATATTTATGTTTCTCTTTTTTGATATGTACTTTATGTATTGAAATCATGAATCATTTTCACTTGTTTTAATTTCCTTTTTAGATTTTCAAGGTCTTTTTAAGACCAAAAGTAGAATGCTCCAAATGGAATGTAAATATAATTGAATATTAAGTGTATTTTGTAAGTGGAAGTTGATTAATAAATATATTTCTATTAAGCTAAATTGTGAACAAATTTAGCATACCTCATGTAAATTTTTGAGCAAATGTGAATTTCTCATAGCTTGATGACAGCATTTTCTATCTTCAGTTACATTCTTCAGTAGGCTGTTTTGCCATAAACTGCTCTAGTCTTCATGAGTCACATTTTAATTCCGAGCATGCTTTGTAAATGAATTATGAGAGTCAGTACTGACCCGTAACTCCAATGTCAAAGGAAACTGTAGTAAACCAAATTTAGCAGATCTGATCAGAAAATTTATCATCAAAAATCATTATAATCTTGCTTACATTTGAAAATCATTTTAGTTTTCAAAATGATATATAAAGTATTATATATAATAATATTTAATAGGAAGTCTGAAATTATCTACAAATATTGTAATGTCTGGTCACTATCAGAACATCATGTTATGTTTATACCAAGAATGGGTATTCATATTTATTATGTCATTCCCATATTAATGTTTAATTATAAGATAGCCTAGAAATCCCTGAAACCACAGACAACCTTTGTTATACAGATAAGTTTTCAACAACAACACATTTTCATCTCTGTCTCTTATTGTCCTCCAGACAAAAAGAGTAATTAACCAAGTAATTAATTAATTAAGAACTCATAAAAGGGATTTGAACCTGATCATTTGAAATTATATGAATGAGGCAAGACATTTGTCCATACTGAGATTAGTGTCAGGTTAACTTTCTATGTTTCAATGGATTTAATTAACAAGGAAATCATTCTACAAAATGGAAATGTTTTATGAAGTATGTAAAGAATTTAGAAGTTCCTATTCACATTGCAAAACTGAATATGCAACTCTGTGCTTTTAATAAAACCACCAACTTCCACTCAGAAATACTGACTCATTAGAACTGTGAAACATTGGCTGGTATTTTCAAGATTTTATCTTCATCTCTATCCAGTCTATCCTCTTGTTTAGTGCATTTCAAATAAAATAAACACAGAAGGCCAGATGTTTTTATAATTCCTAAAATTGTCCTGAAAAGTTTGAAAACAAATTACCTAAAGTGACAGCAACTCTTACTAAGGAAAATAGAAAGTGCTATTTCTAAAATACCTATGTATAATTACAGTAGTTATACTTCATACTCCATTTTCCGTGCATGACATCCGTGTTACCACCCCAGGGGTTTTATTAAGGCAACTCTCTGTGTCACCCTTGATGGGTGCAAACAGAAATCTGAATGGCAGTTTTAGGCCTTTGGCCCATGATCTTTTTTGACACTGTGCATTGTCCTGAACAATCATAGCCTTTTCCTCCTTCTGAGGTTTTGCAGAATCTTTTTGCCAGTTGGAGCTTTAGTTTTATCCATGTTTCTAACAATATTTTATGTAATATTCATTGGTTTTGTTCATTTGTGACTGAGCTAAATGTTTGGCCACTATATCCTTTTCCAGCAATATGTGCCTTCAAGTTTGAGCCAAGCTGCACAAAAAATAAATTCACATTTAATACCACTTAGGCACTGTAGACAGATCTTTGTGTTCGCAGCCTCTGAAGTTTTGTGTTTTTCTCCCCATTTTACTCCCTCATAGCTACTGTTATTTGCTGCTACCAGGATTCCTCCTCTCCTGCACCTTAACACTTTGTTACCTGTGTACAATCCCCAGGCCTGGGTTCCTAAACTGACAACTCAGGATCCTTAATAAGCCCACCGTGTTAGGGATGCTAATGAGAGGCAGAGGGCATCAGAAACCTTTTTACACAAGGGTGATCCATGTATCTTAATAGTGGGGCATTTTTCCTGACATACATTTTAGCATGAGTAGATGAACCAACAGGGTACATATCTGGAGTCAGGAGGGCCTCATGTCATTCTGGAAATCACCAGTGTGTGCTACCCTACCAGATTTTGCTGCAAAACAAAGGCTACAAAGGAATTTTTAAGATATATGAGTGGAATCCTTATTAGAATGTCATCCCAATTGTGTAGCTTTTGATTAAAAGTACACTTTCAAAACTGCTAAATGGGAATTGACTCCAATGTGAGTCCTGTTTAAATGATCACCAATTTCTCCTGATCACTGTTTCTAAGAAGACACATTTAAAATACACATTTAGAAATGTTTTTGCCTTGAAATTCATTCTGGCAAGAGACAGTCTTGTTGGGGGACGCCACTTCCAATAAACCAATAAATCCAATACTCTGTTTCCCAATGTTAACATGTGTCCTTTTTAGCTAACGTCTTAATTGTTTTTTGGAAACTGCTTGGCTGTTCAGAGTCTGACTACTTCAATGAGATAACATGTGAAAGAAGTAAACTGTTTGAGGCTCATTTATATTTTCAGTACTTACTGGTTTTCTTTCCCACTCCTATCCCTAAGCCAAGACAACTCTCAAACTTCACACTATAGTACTTCTTGGAATTTAAGGTCCAAGTTGTTTGATAAAATGGTGATAATTATAAACTGTCTCCCCCAGAATATCCAATACATGTAAAATTTGGCATTTGATTTCAGCACATTCATATATTCCATTGACCCCCTGCGAGGCCAGCCTATACCCCAGTTTCAGCACTAGTGCTAAAGAAAGAGCCTTCTGGCTTCTTCCATCATCTCACTTGATTGATTTGCTTTATAAAAGGCTGTGTCAGACTTTAGGAAGTTTTGAATGCCTAGAGGAGAACCTCCCCATGCCACCCAAAAAGACATCAATTTAATTGTATAATGGGCAACACTGCAAGTTTAATAAGAAAGGAATAGTACAATAAAAATAATTTGAAACTAATTCCTGATGAATAAACTCCCCCAAATATAAGAAGTTTCTGATATTCAATTCTTGAGTCATCTGTGATGAGTTTCCTCACCAAATTTTCTTTCCCTCATTCAGGGAGCTCCACATATATTGTAATCAGCTAACATAAATATAGCACATCCTTATGTGGCACCAGGCAGATTGTCGTGTGTGGGGTTTTTTGTTTTTGTTTTTGTTTTTCTTTCTTGAAGCACTGCTAATTTGGTATTCCACTGAGAGACAGCACAGTTCTGCTAGGACATCCAGGTCAAGGGTATTCACATTCCCTTTATAATACCAACCTAAGTTTGAAATAGTTAAAGATAGACTTATTTTCTGGGCTTTTCCAAATATCTCAAGTAATTCCTATCATAAACATATTTGTACATATATTCTTAGAGGAAATTTATTCTAGATATCAGAATACTTTATGGAAATATTTTATTTATATAACTTCCTTTAAAAATTAATGAACATCATTATGAATGAAATTATGTACATTTAATATACCTCTTACAAAGATGTTTTAAGTTGGAGATGAGTATGAATGTAGAGGCCTTTGCAGATAAATTGCTGGCAATGGCTAAAGGTGAGTTCTGAATTATCATTTTGATCATAAGCTTTTTACAGCAGGCCTGTGCAAAAACTATATTCTGCTGGAATATTTATAGTCAGTCCACCCTTATCAAGTCTTCAGATTTGGTATTATCCAAAGACTAATGAGTCTTACTTGCCATTCCATCAAATCCTGGCCTCTGGAGTCCTCCTCCCTGAAGTAGATTCAGGAATCTCTGAGAGGACCAACAGTTTAAAATTTAATCTCATGGTTTCTTTTTCAGATGTGACCCTGGATTTTCTGGCCCAGCTTGTGAGATGGCATCCCAAACATTTCCCATGTTTATTTCTGAAAGCTTCGGTAGTTCCAGGCTCTCCTCTTACCATAACTTTTACTCTGTCCGTGGTGCTGAAGTCAGCTTTGGCTGTGGGGTCTTGGCCAGCGGTAAGGCCCTGGTTTTCAACAAAGATGGGAGGCGCCAGCTAATTACATCTTTCCTTGACAGCTCACAATCCAGGTGAGTTAAGGCAGGGTGGATTATATACAGAAACCAGATACTCATAACTGAATCTAGATCTATTTATTTTCAATTTGTATTCCTATTTTTCTTTTTTGCTGATATGTACATCTTCTAATTTTTAACCAAGATGAGAGGAAGCTTACAGTTCATATAGAGTTAATTTGCACTAGTTTTAATAAATGAATAGGTTTGCTGATGATTTTAAGATACTAATTACTGACTAGATTTTTTAAAATATGAAATGTTGGCATCAAAACTGTGTTCTTAAGCCAAGGGCTAGCTAATTATTTATGTAGTTTATTTATTTGACAGCTTGCAGAGGCTGATTAGATTAACCCTACATCTTCCCTTCCCTCAGTGCCTAATAAATAATGCAATAAAGGAATGATTGGCATTTTAAGTGTATGTACACAAGTACACAGTATACAAATATGTATAAACATAGTTACATTTGTATGAATGTATCTGCATATAAGCATGTTCATTGACCTCATCTTCTACACATATTCAGATATCTCACAATGAAATTACATTTTGTAAAAGAGGGATAAGTGGAAATCTACAGCTTTTGGGTAGTACATTTAGATTTTTTGAAATTCTTTAAGAGCCAAATGATCGTTATGATTAAAAATGTTTTGCACATACTAATTACAGACAATTTATGTCTAGGTTTCTCCAGTTCACACTGAGGCTGGGGAGCAAGTCTGTTCTGAGCACATGCAGAGCCCCTGACCAGCCTGGTGAAGGAGTTTTATTGCATTATTCTTATGATAATGGGATAACTTGGAAACTCTTGGAGCACTATTCATATCTCAACTATCATGAGCCCAGGTATGTTTGAAGGCAATTGGAAAAATGTTTAGAGTGATATCTCCTTCCTGAGGAAATCATCATTCAAGCGGTGTAAGATTTCAGATATTTTTCCATGGAGAGATGATGGTCAAAACAAAAATCTGCAATAAAAAACTAGCAAGTCACATTCTTCTAATCCATTTGCCCTACTGATACCTGATAATTTGAAGAAATTTATTCACACATTTTGAAATGTGCAACTAAGGAAAATATTTTGATGCCTAGAAAAGAGAAACACCATTAATACTATTTTCCCTATTCAACTGCAAACTATTAGATATGATTTTAATATGGTACTAAATTATAAGTGCTGTTGACAAATATTTACTAGCAGTTATTATAATACATTATTATAAATTATATGAGATAAAAATTCATAAAATATAACTAGTATGTTTTTAAAATGTGCATGTAGTATAATTAAATAAGGAATACAATGAAATTTTTCTAGTATCTACAGAGTCCCTGGGAAAGGTAGAGTGTGAGGATATAGTTAAAGTCCTTTCTTCAGGCCACTTCTATTTTTCTTTAATTGATGTATTTCATAATTTATTGTCACAACTGTGGGATTTAAGTTTTACTTGAAGCAGGGCCATCCTTGGATATCAGCAGAGTAGTAATGACTGTTAATGGTGCAATTTTGGAAGTGCACAAAGGGTCCTCTTCCCTTCTAAATACTTATTGACCTGTTCTCAGAAATTCCTTTCAAAATTGCAGAAGAGGCGAATGGGGAAGTCAAAATACCACAGAGAGAGAAGATAACACTGTGGCTACATTCACAGTCAGATATAAAGAACTAACACCATTTACCCTCCTGAAAGTACACTTGATGATGGGAGGTGTGAAGGAGACGGAGGGCTTTGGGCACTGACGTTTACCATGGCACCTGGGCAAGAAGACAGAGGCACTGATGATCAATTTTTGTATACTTTAAAATTTTGCCTAGGGCTGTCTCTATATTTAAGTATTTGTAAAGAGATCACAACTGTTTTTTTTCTCTTTTCTTCCATATTTAGGTGCATACAATAAAGTGCACAAATCTTAGTGTACATCTTGATGAACTTTAATATTGTGTATATACTCATATGACAATTGCCCACATCAAGATATCAAACATTCTCACTAATTTTTCCCCTTCACCTATGAATGAAAACAACTTTTATTTTCATACAAAACAGTTAATAGTTAACAACTGCTATGAGTTATAAATATTATGCAGTATAAAACTTTAAGAACACACCAGATTTATTGAGTGTTTTCCCTGTAAAGGTAAATATAAAGCTAAACTCAAGTTTCTCACTGTAGAGATACATGAATCCTAAAGATATATTTCATAGATTCTCCATAATAAACATTAAAGAAAATTAAGCAGAATTCAAGGTGATAATAATACAGACAAGAACATGAAGAAAATATTACTGTCCTAAGTTAACTTGGCCTAAACCACACTTTTTTCTAACAGGGATGGACAGCTCTAAAATTCAATAATCAATCTAGATCATGAAATTTAATTAATCTTTGTTGATATGAAAAATAATTACACATTTAATGTGCTATTGCAAAGGTGCATTTAATCTTGCCTGCTATTTGACAGCAACATTTTTCTTCTAAGCAGAATCAAGTTGGCTGTTCAGCATTAGGTATGTGATTAGCTTGGAAGATTAAGATCAGAGTGGAGATTTTTGTAAAGGGAGAATGTGGTTGTGGTTCCAGAACACTTTAATTTCCTGCATATGAAAAGAGACTCTCCCTCCTTCCCCCTTCTCTCTTACAAATATTAATAAAAGGTGACATGACAGAAGTAGAATTTGATATATTCTAGATTCTAAATTATATTTTATATGATAAATAATATAAGCCATGTAAATTCTTCATAAGAGAGTTAAATATATCTTGATGCCTTTGGCCATTTACTATATTTTCTTCAGTATAAATTGCTGCCTGTAATTTCTGTGAATTCTATATTGTTCCTTTCTGCCATAGCTGTTCAAAAATGAAGTGTGATTCATAAATTAGATATGCTAGGTGGCTAACCGCTGTTATTCCTAGACAATTTCTAATCATCTATGATTCACTCAGTAAATATCAGAACTCTATCTGCTTGTTTCTTATAAAATTTAAGGTCTGTAAATATATCTAAATTAATCTTTTAATTTAAACTGATCAGAATCTCTTATGAGCTAATTTGGTATTTTTGTTAATGTAAAACTTTGTATCACTGGTGAGACTCAAATTATTCTAGATTCTTCTTAATTATAGGGTTTTTTTATTCTAAAGTTATTAGAAAGAAATCCATAAACTAAGTACCTACCCAAAAAGGAATATTGATACAGAAAGTTGACCAAAGTCCCTGTGTTCTAAACTAGGGATATTCTGATTAAATGGTTCCATAGCTATTCCACTCTGTCACTTTAATAAGCATAGAGTGATGAAAGCGGAGACTTCCCACCCCCTCAAGACATGAAATATAGGTCGAGAGCACAGGCTCGCTCTAGATCCATGTTGCCTAGGTACAGATCCTGGCATTAACACTTAAAAGCTGCTTAACAGTGGAGAAAACATTTAACCTCCTGTGCTTGTATATTCAAATCTCTGTTAGGATATACTGATAATATGACTTCATTCTTGTAGCAAAAATTTTTTGTGTCCTTATTATGCATTATCAGGTGCTGTACTTGGTACTATGACACAATAGTAAAATAACGAAAATTTTTTCTGACTTGGCCATAAGGATATTAGCCCAGTTTTGCAGATGAAGATGCTGAGGCACATTGGAGTAGTGTTCCCTGTGCCTGCAAAGATATTAGCCATTAGGTGTCAGAGTGGGACTTAAACGCAAGGGTGTGTAATCTGTAATCAGACCCACTGTCTTAACATCTCTGTGGGAGAAAATATTGGCCATTTCAATTACTGTTTCCACACACACTTTATTTTCCCTTAAAGTCACCTGAGAAATTCTACTTTTTAGCTGTTTTTCTTTAATTACATTTATTTTCATAAGAGAGAATAGTAACCGCTTTCAAAATTAGTAACATAAAAGACAATTATAATTTTCCAATAGCACAAGGATCACATTAAATTATTAAATTAACACATCAAGTTTTCATTGCTGAGCCAGTTTGAATATAGTTTAATTACTTTATTTCTTCATATATTTGATATATTATAGAAATATGGTTATTTATTTAATAAACAAATATTTAGAAAAAATTAAAGTGAAAATTATTAGATTCTTAATAAACTAAATTTACTCTTCTAGTAAATTCACATTAGTTAAAAAATTTCAGTGAATTTAATTTAAAACTATAAGTATTTAAAGTATTTAAAACCATAAATATTACAGATATGTCTTTTTATTTTAAGAAGTGTTTTTTAATTTATTTTTCTATATTTGAACTTTAATTTTTCATTATTTAAAAAGTGTGTTTTCTCACATTGCAAAAAGTCCTACCAATTTCTTACTGATAGTTTGTATAAGCAATGGGTAGGGTTATAGGTGTGTTTTTCTACCCCATATGTCCATGTACAAATTATTTAGAGAAAATAGATATTATTTTTAATAACTTTCAGTGTATAAAAAACTATATTTCCAAGATGTGATTTAATGTTTCTTTACACAATAACTAAATATAAGCATAATATGCTTATGAAAATCAATCTAATTTCTCCATAAATCCAGACTTGGACATGGAAGTTTTAATAATTTATTTCTAAATTGTCCTACTAGTGACCTGTCTGAGGGAGTTTTTCTTTAATCACTAGGAAAAAACTCAGTCCCTTTAGTGTGCATTTACTGCAAATACTTCTCCTGGTGTTACACTGATGGAGACAAATGTTCCATTTGCCATTTGCTTCATATCTCACCTTGTGTATGGATGTGAGCAGCATGGCACCGTGATTTATGGAGCTTTCAAGCAGATGTCATTGTGCTGGCAATTAATGTATGGTTTCTGCTGCTGAGTACAATAATTGCTCCTGGAAATTAGATATTATTCTTAATTTTTTTCACCATTTGTCAGATACAGGTTTGTTGTCAGAGCCACCATGACACAGCAAGTCCTCTCATACACTGTGCCAAACCCACGGGAAATGTCACAGTTCCCACCAGCCCCAAACCGTGATATGTGTAACAGGGTACCCACGGTGCTTTACCAGGCTAAGATGAATCCTGCCACTTTGACAACTGTGTTTTACTGAGGTAGCTTTTCTGAGAGCAGATGAGTGAAGTAAAGTCACAGTGTGGATATATTTAAAAGACAGTCAGACAGGAAACTGGAAATCTCAGAAGAATGTTTGTAATAGTGGAAGAACTATTTTTTTTTAAATACCACAGAAAAAAATATCCTGCCACATGTTTGTTTCTTAAGCTATCAAGGTAATCTGAATTTTTACTTTTCTATTATTCCTTTAGAATTATCTCCGTAGAATTACCGGATGATGCAAGACAGTTTGGAATTCAGTTCAGATGGTGGCAACCATATCATTCTTCCCAGGGAGAAGATGTATGGGCTATTGATGAGATCATCATGACGTCTGTCCTTTTCAACAGCATTAGTCTCGACTTTACCAATCTTGTAGAGGTCACTCAGTCTTTGGGATTCTACCTTGGAAATGTTCAGCCATACTGTGGCCATGACTGGACACTCTGGTAAGGATTTCATCGTTGTTGTTATTACATTTGCATTAAGGGTTGGAACACAAAAATGATCTAGTCCACCCAGCATTTAATCAATTGTTGAGAAAATTTTTATTGAAAATAAATCATTTGAAAATTCATTATTATATCTACAAATAAGATATCTTGGGAAGGCATACTAAAAATAAAATACTGATAGATTTAAATAAATATAAAATTTAACCATAGTAATTAATCTTAAAATTTCATTTCCCACTGTTGTATATAAAAACCCTCTTCAAAAACTGTTAGTAGCTAAAGTGACTAACATAGTTTCCCTTCATGGAGGCCCACGATGATCAGAGTGAAATGTGAAATCACTCTAATGACTACTTCAATAAAATTTTTCAAGTTTTATTATCATGCTATCTTACATAAAATCCAGAATATTTTTCACCCCTAATTTATTAACTAAACTCCCCTTTTAATCCATTTTATCAAGCAGTATTGGGCCAATAACTCATATAGTTAGTGGTGGGATTTCAAGATTGTGGGATATCCTAGTCAAGATACATTTTCTTAGATTTTTTTACCCCTATTGTCATATGCAAACTTAATTATACAATAAACAGTAAATACCAAATTTAGGACTGTGATTAGTACTTAAAGAACATCAGTAGGATGACACAGCAGTAATATGCTAGAATCAGGAGATGTTTTCTTAAGGCAGGGAGGGTGATGCCATGTTCAGATGGTTCAGACAGTAGCTGTGATACATCCCACTGATTGGAAAGTGGAAGAACAAGGAAGTTCCAGCCACACGTGAAGATCTGCAGGAAACTTTGAAGTACAAAGATGCCCAAAGTAAGAGTGACCGTGGCATGTTCATGAACCAGGAAGCAAGCTGGTGGTGCTGGAGCCCAGGCAGTGAGGGAGTGAATGTCAGAAATAGAAGCTAAGAGATGTGAGAGGCCAGATCATTGCAGGGCTTCTAGGCCCAGAGATCCTCAATTAAAATGCAAGTCTGCAAAATTCCAAAACCCACAGCTTTCGCCACTGTGCATACTACCCTTCTCTGGGTTCCTTTAGGAGTTTAAACATGATTGAGGAATAATTTTCTAAGAGAGTTCTACTTCCTATTGAGTCATGGTCAGGCCAATTTAATTCTCCAGGTGAATCGCACCGAGAGCTATTCACCCTAATCGTCTCCAGAGAGCATATCATAAATGACCCATCAGTGACCTTATCATAATTAGAGGTAAATTTTACACACCATTGCACAGAAAATTACCTTTGATGGGAATTGTGCATGGACAGTCACATTTCACACACAGCAGGCTGAAATTCTAGCATCAGAATGATAACTAATGGAGAAGAAGTACAGCTGGTTACTTTTGCTGTGATTACTGTCAAATTAGATAGAATTAAATCTATATGACAAAGTATGAAAGATTATATTGTGTATTTTTTACTTGATAGCCCTAGATCCTTGTTTTGGATATTCTTTCTTAGACCTGGAGTCTTTAAAAGACAATAAAAGGGTGAAGCAAAATAAGAAAATGCAAAATATAAACCAAAATGAGATTTCTTAGAATTATATACTTCTCAAAATTTAAATCAACCTGAATTAACAGTAATTGACATTGGTCATATACCATCAACTATATCCTCCAAATTTGTGAAGTCTTTTTCCAGCACTTTAATACAACAGAGAGTCCTATCATGAATGCAAGTCCTGTATCATGTTTATTTTCATAAATAGTTAACATCTGCTCAAATAAACTCCAAAGTTGCTGAGCATTTTAATTTAACACTTGGGTTGAATGCATGATAACAGCGCTTTAGTTTCTGTGCTTTGATCAAAACCCTAAGAACAATATCTTTTCACACAAGTCTGATGAATATTCTTAACCCACCACTGCTTTAATTGGTGGAGATACATTTACTCTGTGAAAGTACAATCACAGCAATTATGGAAAACCGTAAGAAAATATAAATAATCTTACAATCCCCATGGGCACCTTGAGCAGCACCATAGGAGTTTTATTAACAAACACATGTGAGCAATCAGTTTTGACTTTCTGACCTTATCTGAAACGAAAAGGAGTTGTCGTGGTTATGAAACAACAGAGAGTGTACTCTGGCAGTGACAATGAGACTAGAGGAACACATTAACTGCTTTAATAAGGACATGAAAAATGCTCTGCTGCTCATTAAAATGAAACAACATGGAAGATCTCAAACTGTTCCCATTTTCTTAGCCAATGAGTCAGAATAAAGCCCCTTTTAATGACACTGTTTTCTCTCTTCTGCTATTGAGGAATACATTGTCCAAGTTTAATGTGAACTCCCTCTGGAAGTGTTTTTCAGAAACACTTGTTACAATATTGAAATCCAAATGATGGTATTGACCAACTATTTATCATAACCATCTAGTCCCTACAACTTGTTTTTTTTAATATATAAAACATTTGGAGCATATTATCATATTAAGTAAACATTCTTTGAACATGTTCACATATGTGCCCTCTGCCCTTCAATGACCTTGCTTCTCTCAAGGGAAATTTTTAAATGTATACATGTTCTCTACAAATGTCTGGTGTTAAATTAATTATTGTTGGCCTTTCCCAGCTGTGAGTTCATTTGGTTCTCATTTCCTAACTCATGACTTTCAATGAGCGTAGATTCTTATTACTGAGTGTTCTCCAGGGAAAGCATGGACAATTGCATTTTCATTAGAAGAACTACAGTCAATATGCTATAAATTACTTTACAGTGTGTCATCTTAGAGTACTTTATCCATGGAAAAATGAATTGCTTTTAACTGTTTATAGTATTGTCCTTCCTTCCATACATAGTATCTGAAATCAGAACTTCTATCTGCTTTATGTCCTGAAAATAGTCTTTAAAACCTCTTACATTTATTTTAAGATCACCAAGAGAATACTTTTAATTGAGGCTTATTAAAGATTACCTAACTAAGACTATTAGTGATGATACCAAGGGACATTTACACTCTTCTGTCTATCTAATAGACTAGCTAGGTATACAAGCGATAAGGACATTGCTGTCAGATTATGTTGGATTTTTGGCTTCAAAAAGTAAGGGAATGATCATTACAACATACTAGAATTGGCAACCACTTAGTAGAGGATAAAGAATTTTCCAGACAAGCAAAAGCTAAAGGAGTTCAACACCACTAGCTAAGCCTTATAAGAAATGTTAAAGGAATATCAAGGTGAACAAAAGAATGCTAATTAGTAACAGGAGAATATATGAAAGTATAGATCTTACTGGTAAAGGAAAACATACAGTTAAATTGAGAATACTCTAATGTTATAATGGTGGTGGGTAAATCACTTATAAATCTAATATGAAGATTAAAAGAAAAAAGTAGTAAAAGTCACTATAATAATGATCATTTGTTAATGGATACAGAAAATAAAAAATGTAAGTTGTGACATTAAAGACATAAAACATGGGAGGGAGTAAAAATGTAGAACTTTAGTATAATTCAAACTTAAGTCATTAATCAGCTTAAAATACACTATTATACAAAACAAAACAGAAGGAACAAAATAGCAGTAGACTCATAGACACCGAGAAGGGACTGTGGTTATCAAGAAGGAGGGGTTGGGGTGTGTGGGTGGGGATGGGGAAGGGAATAAAGGGGCACAATAATTCACAATCACAATATAAGTTGGTCACAGGGATGGTAGTACAGCACAGATAATACAGTTAATGATTCTGTAACATCTTACTTTATTGATAGATAGTGACCATACCAGAGGAGGTGAGAATTTAATAATATGGGTAACTGTTGAACCACTGTGTTGTATATTTGAAACCAACATAAGATTTTATATCAATGATACTTTAATTAAAAAAATATACTGTTATATATATATATATATATAATATATATATGTTTTATATAAGCCTCATGGTGAACCACAAAACAAAAACCTATACTAAATACATAAAAGAGGAGAAAGGAATCTAAACATACAGAAAATCATCAAATCACATAGGAAAAGAGAAAAGGAAGAAGAAAGGAACAAAGGAATTACAAAGCAACCAGAAAACAATTAACAAAATGGCAATAGTAAATCCGTACCTCTCAATAAGTACTTCAAATGTTAATGGACTGAATTTTCCAATTTAAAAACATAGAACGGGTATTTGTACTGAAAAATAAGACCCAACTATATGCTACGTACAAGAGAAGCACTTCATCTTTAAGATTGCATGCAGACTGAAATTGAAGGGATGGAGAAAAAGATGATATCCATACAAATGGAAGCCAAGAGAAAGCAAGGGTAAACTTTAATTAGACTTGAAGACGAAGACTGTAATAAGAGACACTGGTTATTATACAACAATAAAGGAGTCAATCCAACAAGAGAATATAGCGTTGATGAATACTTATGTATGAACAACATAGAAGCAACTAAATATATAAAGCAAATATTAATAGACTTGAAGGGAGAATACAATAATAGTAAGACTTCAGAACCCCACTTTCAATAATGAATAGATCATCCAGATAGAATCAATAAGAAAACATGGACTTAAACAATGTGTTAGACCAGATGGACTTAATAGACATTTATAGAATATTGCATATAAAATCAGTAGAATACATATTCTTCTCCAGGATAAGTTATATATTAGATCAAAAAACAAGTCTTGATAAACTGAAGAATATTGAAATCATATCTAGCAATTTTTCCCACCACAGTGGCATGAAACTAGAAAACAATTACAAGAACAAAACTAGAAAATTCACAAACATGAAGATTAAATAACATGCTACTCAACAACCAATGGGTCAAGAAATCAAAAGAAAAATTTAAAAATATCTTGAGGTATTTGAAGTAATAATGGAAATACAACATACCAGAATGTATGAGGTGCAGCAAAGGCAGTTCTGAGAGAAATTCATAACAATAAATGCTTCAATTAAGAAACAACAAAGATCTCAAATAAACAAACTCATTTTACACTTCAAGGAACTAAATAAAGAAGAAAAA